TGACACAAGCTCGCATGATTTTTCCGAGGGTGTCTTCATCCCAAAATCGAGCCGGTCCCTTGACGATTGCGAAACGAGCCTGTAGAACCCCAAACGCTCGTTCAACGTCATTCCTACAAGCTTCTTGGGCAGTTGCAAAATATTTCTTCTTATTACCTTGTGGTTCAGGTATGGTCTTAACAAATGTAGCCCAAGAGGGATATATGCCATCGGCGAGATAATAACCCATTGTATATTCGTTGTTATTAATAGTATAATTCACCTTTGGAGCTTGACCTTCAGCTAGCTGTGCAAATAAAGAAGACCGGTGCAAAACGTTGATGTCGTTGTGGGAACCAGGCATCCCAAAGAAAGCATGCCAAATCCAAAGATCCTTAGAGGCCACAGCTTCAAGTATAATTGTAGGCTCATGCACATGCCCGGTGTACATACCTTGTCATGCTGAAGGACAATTTTTCCACCTCCAATGCATGCAATCAATGGAGCCAAGCATACCAGGAAAACCTCTACTCTCTCCAATTGCTAGTAACCTAGCAGTATCATCTTCATTAGGTGATCTCAAGTACTCATCTCCAAAAACCTCCACAACAGAACTGACAAACCTTCTCAGACTCTCAATAGCAGTACTCTCGCCAATACGTACATAATCATCTGTAACATCAGCTGCTATTCCATAAGTTATCATCCGAAATGCTGCAGTGATCTTTTGCAGACTAGACAACCCAAGTATACCGGCAGCATTTCTTTTCTGTACGAAATATTGATCATGTTGTTCCACGGCATTCCATATGCGTACAAACAGTGTACGCCTCATTCGAAACCTGTAATTCAAAAGTAATGAGACATATATATATGGATTTATAAAAAAAAAAATGTCCAAATAAATCTATTGTTAAGCAATATAAGGTAATCGATCCTAATACAGACCGACTTTAATTGTTTTATGATTCGAGTAACTGTTGGTTAGGCTTCAGGCCCGTGATAAGATGTAATGTCCTTGTTTTTTTCAACTATTATGCAGGTGGAGATCGACTCCCTCTATCAAAAGCTAACCAAAGCAAGGTCATAGTTTTTTACAGAAACATGCAGCAGAAGCAATACGTCTTGCAAGGAAAATATATTTATTAATTTGTTGTCTCTATAAAAGGTGGAAAACTATGTACAACAATGTCCATTTTGCGACTAGATTTATGTATAATGTGGCAGTTCAATGCATGGTACAATTTTTACTGTTTGGCAACCAAAAAAAGAAAAAAAATGCAAATGATAAGGATGTAGAGGCTAGGTTGTACTAATTACATACCTTTGTCTAAAATAACTATGTCCGTAGGTAGGATCATCTGAAAAATAATCTTTGTACAACCTATGATGTCCTGCGTGTCTGTCTCGCTCAAGTACTCGATGCCCTAGTATAGAATTACGATGTTTTGTTTCATCGTCAGACTCATCGGCATTCATGGCCACGTGAGTAACGGAGAGGAGGAATTCATCAGCGTCATCATCTGACGACGAACTCAACACCAGCTGCATGGAAAGGCTTCGTCGACTCATACCGAATTCGTTTTACCTATCTCACAGACAACTCCAGCGAAGACGTCGACCAAGGCAACAGCGGCGGCTGTGGGGACTGGGGAGTTTTTCTGCTTCGAGTTTCTGTGCGTGGATGGGCCCAATTACAATGATGTGGCCTGTTTTAAAATATTAGGGACTAGTTATTAGCAATCTGCTGTGGGATGATAAGTTTTTAGGGAAGTTTTTTTTAGGGAGAGCCCCAATACATTGTTTTGGGGAAGAACTTTTTAGGGAACTCTAAATTAGCTTAATGTCAAGTGGATCCGTGGCGCAATGGTAGCGCGTCTGACTCCAGATCAGAAGGTTGCGTGTTCGATTCACGTCGGGTTCAATTCCCCCTTTTTTTGTCATCAATTTTTTAACCTTTTACGTTTTTATAAACGCGACTATCTCTTTAATAGTAGCGTTTTCAGCATCGTCCCCTTTGCCAACATTTTTGCTTCTGCACACCCAAAACCCGGATAAAACCTCACACGGCGGCGCAGCCAATTCGTACCCACCAGAATGGCCTCGCTCTCTCTTCCCTTCTCTTCCACCTCTCTGCAATTTCCTTTCCCATCACCAAAACCCACCCACATTTCGGCCCCAATTCCCTCACTCACCCACTACTATTCGCGTTCGTCTTCAAAAATCCGTATGTGTGATCTTTCGACCACACCCGAGAAGAAGCCTAGCTCCAGGAGGAAGAAAAGCAGCCCTTCTTCTTCTTCTTCGTCGCCTTCGTCGGAAGCACAAGATATGGTTCGTTTGATGATGAGGAGCTTCAGCGACAAGCAGCCGTTGGTGAATACTTTGAACAAGTATGTGAGGTTTGTGAGGACCGAGCACTGTTTCTTGCTGTTCGAGGAGCTCGGAAGGAGTGACAAATGGCTGCAGTGCTTGGAGGTTGTGGCCTCTCACTTTTCCTGGCTTCATTTCAGCTTCTACCATTTTTTTTTTTTTTTCCTTTTATTTTTATGGGGTACCTGAGAATTTTGTCTAGTTGTGTTTTTCTGTTGATGTTGAGGTTTTTATGTGCAGTGTGGTAAATTCAGACTCCAAAACATGGGTTTCGATCATACTAATGCTTGCTATATATTTTTCTGTAAGTTCTAACAGTACAGACTGCAAATCCATTTTTATTTTAGCTCTTAAAGAGTGTATGTGAGAAGCTCCCACTGCCTTGTTATTTTTCCTTTCGATGTTTAACTATATGTCTTTTATGTTCTTGAAATGCAAATGGTTCTTGTATTTGATAAGTAAGATATCCTTGTTTCTTTGTATCCCAGTTTAAAGATTGAATATCATATAGAATTGCTAATGGGTTTTGGTAGATTACTCAGATACATTTGTGTATGTATGTTAACAGAGGCTTCTTTGGAAATATTTAGGTATTCAGATGGATGCAGAAGCAAAAATGGTACGTGGCCGATAATGGTGTTTACTCGAAGTTAATTTCAGTTATGGGAAAGAAAGGGCAAACCCGTATGGCCATGTGGCTATTCTCGGAGATGCGTAATAGCGGCTGTAAGCCCGACACGTCCGTTTACAATGCTCTAATCACGGCCCACCTCCACTCTCGGGATAAATCCAAGGCTTTAGCAAAAGCCCACGTGTATTTCGAGAAAATGAAAGGCATGGAGAGGTGCAAGCCTAGCGTCGTCACTTACAACATTCTCTTACGAGCTTTTGCTCAGGCGAAAAAAGTTGACCAGGTCAATGCGATGTTCAAGGATCTCGAAGAGAGTATTGTGAATCCAGATATATACACATTTAATGGTGTGATGGATGCATATGGTAAACTAGGGATGATCAAGGAAATGGAGTCGGTCCTTTCGAGAATGAAGAGCAAACAGATTAAACCGGACATTATCACGTTTAACTTGTTAATTGATGCGTACGGGAGAAAGCAAGAATTCGTCAAGATGGAACAAGTGTTCAAGAGCTTGTTACGCTCGAAAGAGAAACCGACACTCCCCACGTTTAACTCCATGATCACGAATTACGGTAAAGCACGGCTTAGGGAAAAAGCGGATTCGATCTTCGAGAAAATGACGGAGATGGGCTATAAACCGAGTCCCGTCACGTACGAGTGTCTAATTATGATGTATGGATACTGTGATTGCGTGTCGAGGGCTAGGGACATATTTGACCGTATGGCCGAGTCTGAAAGGGAGAAAAAAGTGTCGACTCTTAATGCAATGCTTGATGTGTATTGCATGAATGGTTTGCCTATGGAGGCAGATATTCTTTTCGAGAGTGCACGTGCGACTGGAATTTACCCGGTTGACTCGTCTACTTATAAACTCCTTTACAAGGCTTACACTAAAGCAGATATGAAAGAGCATTTACAGAAGTTGCTCGTGTGTATGGATAAAGATGGTGTTATTCCTAATAAAAGATTCTTTCTTGATGCTCTGGGAGCACTTGGGACTTCTTCTGCAAGAAAGAAGTCAGTTGTCAGGAAGAATAAGTTAAGCCAACAAGTTTGAGCTGATTATATGATGAGTGAATCTTTTTCACCTCTAACTATGGCCATTACAAATAGCATCTATACTGGGGAAATGTAAAAATGGTGACTTTAGTGCTGCTGACAAATTTGCTGAATTTTTCCCAGCCAATGCTGCTTCCAGATTATCAGGTATTGTTCCAGTTTCTTGATTTTTTTCTAGACTAATGCATGTCACAATGATTAAATATGTGTAAGCTGTATAGTATGTCGTGTGTAGATTGTGAGATCACGACATTTGTAACTTTTAAACCTGAAACAATAGAATAATTGCAAATAAATATTTGAAAACAATAGTTGTGCTCATTTTTGTGTTGAAAAACTAGCCATCTGATGATATATGACATGTAATTCTCACATATTAGTGGAGGATGTTCGTGTGGTACGCTTTTTCAGATTCAACAAACTTTGTTATAGTTATTATTTATGAGTGTATTCCAAAATCGATCGTCCAGTTACTTGTCTTAGAATTTGATGACTTGTGATATGAAGTTAGGATGGTCTGTTTATTTGAACATTTCAAATTTGAATGGCAAAATTGCATATAACCACCTTTAAGGTTTTTGCAATTTAATCAACCACGTTTTGATATTTGCGTTTAAATCACCACCTTTCATATTTTTCTTGCAATCGAAACATAAATTTAACTTCTGTTTCGACTTTCCATCTGTACCAAGTCAGCCACGTAGACGTTCTGTCTATGCCAAGTCAGCTCCAATCTAGCGGAAGTTAAATTTAATCTTCAATCTGCAAAACATATGAAAGGTGGTGATTCAAACGCGAATAGCAAAAAGTGGTGTCGATGAAATTGCAAATGCCTTAAAAAAAGGTGGTGCCTTTATACGCAATTATGCCAGCCTAACAACTGAAAATGTGATGATTGCAAAAGCCTTAAAAAAAGGTGGTGCCTTTATATGCAATTTTGCCAGCCAAACTGAAAATGTGACGATTGCCTCTGAAAATTTAAGACACAGTTCTATTGCTGCAGGTAATTACTGAAAAATCGAAACGGTAGACTCGGCCTTGAAGTTTTTTTTAGCCATCTCCACAGACACCCTTGCGCATTGGATGCTAGCAATGCTGTATAAAACTTCTGTAAATTTTTGATACCTGGAATGATTGGTACAACTGTTTTGATTGTGAGACATAAAAATGATGGAACGATTGTTTGTCATTTGTGTAGAAAGCGCACAGATTTTTGTAGAAGCATAATTTTTCTTTTTTTTTTCTTTTTATTTTTCAATTGAAAAAAGAGATTTAGCTGCCCTTACTGTTTGCTGAATCTTGATATGCAATTTTGTTGCTTCTTTAAAGGAGATCACTCGTCAAGTTAGTTGGTAAAGGTGTAAATGTAGGGGTGGCCAGGGCTGCCATGACTCCGCAAACCGGATCGGAACTGGCCCATATGTACGGGTCCTTGAACCGGACCCGTGGTAATACCGGTCCGGTTCCGGGCCTTTATTTTTTTTTTTTTATATCTCGCCTGTTCCGGGTCGATTCTAGGTCAATTCTGGGTTGATAATGGTTTTTATTCTTTTTTTTTATTTTTTTAAAAAAATTGCGGTTCAATGAATCGTCGGTTCGGGCCGGGGCCGGGCCCTTGTTTTGAGATCCGGCGGTCCGGGCCAGGTCGTGAAGCGGCCTGGCAGTTGGCCATGTCTAGGTACATGTTATATGAATTTGTAGTGAAGGTTAGAAACTAGAAGGAATTGTTAATAGTTAAAATGAAAATATGTTTATTGAAAAAGAAAATAATATTTTAAAATAAATTAACTCAAAGTTATTTGCACGGTCATTTTCATCTGCAAAAGTTTTTAAGAAGGTAGTGCTATGGCAATGTACACTAAAAGGGTGGTGTGTGGAAAAATTGGTAGCTAACTTCAAGAAAACACAACTAATGTTTGACCTTTTAATATGCTTTTTAATGATAAAAAATAAAAGATTTATAAAATATTTTGAAAAAAAAGGATAACATTATTAAAGAGCAGCTCTAAAAGGCTTAATTTTGCATTTTATAACTCTATAAAAATATACCAAACAAATTTTATGAATTTATAAACCCTTTTGACATAAAATATTTTAAAATAAATATACAAGATTTTATATACATACAAGATATTTTAAAAGTTGTTATCATCTCTCATTTTCCTCTTTAACCTCACTAATACTATGAATAACACTTTTCGTATATATATTTGAGAAATGTTACAGTCTTGTTACGAACCATTTTGTTGGTGTTTGTAACTGTTAGATTATTGTGTAACGTCAGAGATAGTTGATCTAACGGTTACAAACCCCGACGAAATAGTTTCATAACGGCACCGTAGCATCCCCCAATATCTTTAACTATACACATATTATCAATTAATTTGTTATTTTTATATTTCAGTTAAATTAAATCTCTCCTCTTTTGCAGTAAGAACAACAGCAAAAGCCGTCTGCTTCCCGCCACCCACACCACTCTCCTCCCGGTGGCGAAGCTACGTTCAGTGGCTGGGGTCGTCCGACACCAACGCTTTGCGTTGAACCACTTGTACGTAACAAAATTTCACCGTGTAAGACCCCATTAAAAAAATAATAAGACCCTGGCAGCAGGGGCGGATCTATATAAGACACCGTGTAACACCCCCGACCCCAGCAACCAAAATTCCCATTAAAAAAATAATAAGACCCCGGCAGCAGGGGCGGATCTATATAAGACAC